CTCTGTGGGTGTTGTTGAATTACTTGCTCCGGTTGAGGATCGGTTTTTGGAGTAGAAACCGGTTCTACATTCTCCGGTTTAGTTTGAACCGGTTGTTGAAGTTCCGGTGTAGATGATCTCATCACAGGAGCAGAGGAAGTAGAACCATACGGCGAAGGAACATCACGACGAGGCGAACCAGGATCCGAAAGCGTCGAGACTTCTCGTCGGATCTTAGCTCTCGGATCACGATCACGAAGCTCATGAGGCGGAGCAGTTTCATCGAAATTATCCAATCCAAAGAGATAATCAGGAACTTCTGAAACAATCGACGAGACTTCAGATCTGACTCGTTCGATTCCACGGCCGTTAGATACGGCGGTTGCGGCGGCGGAAGAGCCGAGATTGAGAGCGTCGAGAAACCATTGCTCTCGATTAACGGAGCTATCGAGTAGAGAGCTGATACTGCTTGCTCGACTATCGTTATCGTCTTCTTCTCCGGCGGTGTTTTTGGTGAAGAGAAAAAGACGAAGACGAGATGATTTAGGGTTTTGATTCTGTGCGATGCGGTCGTATTCATCCATCATGTTCTCTACATCTTCGTCCGTTGATACGGAAATCAACGCGTCAAGATCTTCGTTTGGTAGCTGGTACTTCACGGTTATGTTGCTTTTACCTTATTATTTTCCAAAACACGACAATCATAATTAATTATTATTATTTTTTCCCCATCATTTTGTTATATTTATATGAATACTTTCCCGCAAAAATCCAAATGTTTTGTGGCCAATAAATATCTGCCCAATTTCCAACAACTATTTTCAAAATGTTTTTAAAAAACCAATAATGTTTTTCCTTGTATGCAAAAGAATAAACCAATAATTCATTCATCTCACAGTTGACAAAAAAAAATCATATGATTTTGATCCAATTTCGAAATAGATATTTAGTGATTCTTCTTCGAAAATTTAAACGGATTAATCGTTGGATTATATGTCCCGAGTCGATGATTTTCAAGATCGAAAATTCGAAATTATGTAGCCAACTCATACTATTTAATCCAGAATTTTGTGGCTAATAATTAATTTCTTTAATATCAAAAAGCTGCAAAAATTGTTTAAAATAAAACCAATAATTAATTCATCAGACCTAAATTTTCATAGCTGGCAAAAAACAAAATAAACCCGATTGATCCAAATTCGTATTGAGTAATTATCTGCATATCAAAGTTATTCTAAAACTTTTTTTTTTTAAACGGATTAATCTATGCAACAAATGTTCCTTATGTTCCTATAAAAAGTTCATGAAGTCGATCACTCGAAGTTGTTATACAATTCCGATTTTCTCACGACTCGAATCGAAATGGAATTTGATTTTACTTACCGGAGAGTTTGGCGAGTTTACTGAGGAGAGAAGAAAAAGTAGTGTGACGATGAACAGCGACCATACGATTATCACCGCCGACGTAACAGAGCTGATTATCCGGCGGACGAGGTAAGATCCTTCCGCCAAAAGTACACATGAAACGTACACGTGGCTGATTATCGTACTCCGATCTCGGCGATGATGCTAATGAGTCGTTGTCTAGCTCCGCCGGAAGGATCGAAGCCATTTTTGCCTCCTCTCTCTCTCTCCTTTGTCGCCGAGGATTTTGGGAAATTTCGGATTTTGGTTTTTTTGATTTGATTACAAACGACGATATAATTATTAAAGGCGAATGTTCTGGGAAGAGAATATGTTAGAGAGACACGACTGTCATGGACTGCACTATCACAGCACGATGTTGACAAAAATTGGCTAAGTGGCGGTCCATGGAAACAAGTGGTCGTGATTCAATTTTATGTGACAGACGCATCGTAGCCGTCAAATAGATATCAGCCACAAATTGGATGCTCTTAATCATTCACAACATTAATTCGTTGACTCTAACAACGATATATATTGTTAGAAATTTAACG